TGACTCCTAGGCCTCACATTGTCTACATGAATATTCAAAGGCCCCAAGACTTTTTACAAGACAGTTGTGGTTCTTTTTTTTTCTTCTTCTTTTTTTTTGGCATATTGTAATGGTTGTCTTTATTTTAAATAATTTTATGTCACCTTGTGGCCCCTTGGAAGTTATGTCCCCTAGTGGACCCCGGTTTAGAAACACTGGTCTAAAGTTGTGTTCATATTCAAATTAATGTCTTTTGACCACATTTGTGGCATACCTCAGAAACTGTTTCGACTTGTACCTCAATTTGTAAAATAAACAAAAGAAACCCAGTGTTGATAGAAATGTACTTACAATAGACATCAATGGGTGAAGCATTGTACATTGGTCCATACATTTCCAGTTTAAGTTCTTAACTGTCAGCACATTTTCAGTTTGTTTTCACAAACTGTGCTGCTTTGCATGTATTTAACCAGTAACATTCCTTTAATCATATGGCACGACTAGGTCCATGTCAAATCTGTGCCTGCAGAAAGTCCTGCAGATGTTATTTATGTCACACTTTGCATGTAAATAATTCTTCTTTTTTAAAAAAATTCCTTTACACTTTCAGCTACTTAGAAAAGTGTAGTACACACATTTTACCATACTTAAAGGGATAGTTTATACAAAAAAAGAAAATTCTGTTATCATTTACTCACCTTCAAGTTGTTCCAAACCTGAAAACTTAAAGAAATTTGAAGAATATGAGTAACTAGTAAATTACTGTGGAATTCAATAGTGACCAGAAACCGTTTGTTACTAACATTCTTCAAAATATCTTCTTTTGTATTTAGCTGAAGAAAGAATTTCATACAAGTTTTGAACAACTTGAGGGTGATTACAGAATGATAACAGAATTAAAAATTTTTGGTAAACAATCCCTTTAACTTAATTCTGCACAATTTCCCCTCAAAATCAGTGTAGAAGATGCGGAAAAGTCTGCAGACTCTGTCTAGACCTGCTCATGACTGACAGTGTTTTTGGGTAGGCAACATTACGCCCCGAATGCTCTGTTTGGAGTAGTTTGTGGGTGTGAGGTCAGTGAATGAGCTGTGGTTGGATGGTATGGGGGAATTGATTCGATACAGACCGTAGTGTTTTGCCTGCACATCTTCCTCTCTACACATTCCACAAAAGCCCCATTGTACCCCTCAGTGCCACAGGCTTTTGTGTGATGAGGACTCTCATTGTCCCTGTGCGTACATTTGTGTGGTTGAATCTCTGTAGGAGAAAGAAAGGAGAGAGGAGGAGACAGAGTTGCAGTGCATTGTGGGCCAATTGAACTTGAACATTGTGGGCTCTCCAAATCATAACTGACCAAATGCCTTATGGTGGCATTGTCTCATCTAGTTTTGTCGTTTATGATCCTGTGACACTGAATACTGGAGTAATGAAAATTCAGCTTTGTCATCACAGGAGTAAATTACATTTTATAATTTATTTTTTATTTTATTTTATTTTCAATTGTAACAATATTGCACAATATTTCTTTTGAACAGATTTTCAGTGTCAAATGCATCTCCTGGCAGTGACTGATTATGATCAGATTTTAAGACTTTCTTGTGAACGATCTTGTAAAATGGTTATTTTATTTTGAAGTTTAAAACTTTTTTAGACCTTCTGTAAATTGAGCGGTTGGATCATGGTGCACCTACCAACACTCGTCAGATCACATTTACACGTGTATTTAGCTCTTTCAGCTTATGATCAGATCAACTGAGACGGATGTACCTGGTATAAAAATCCTGTAGGATTATAAAGGAGTTCCTTAAGTAAATATTACCATTGTGATTTTTGTACTTCCCTGAACGTTCCCACATTAACATATCAGACAAAATCACTGTTTTGATGGATGTGGCTTTCCCAGACCTGTGTGTATCCGGTGGGCACGTGGAGACTTGTTTTTTGCCTGAGCAAAGCCACAGTCTGAGAGTTCACACAGAGGTTGGTGGACAGTGATGCAGTGTTTGGCAGCACAGCAATACCCACAGTATAAAACCAAGTGCACTCATCTGTGTCTAGTCAAACCTTTTAATCATACACTCTGTGTGTCTGTGTTTTTGGTTGGTTGAGCAGTGAAGCCCCTGTTGTGCTTTTATATTTTGCCAAGATGTCCTAAAGGCGTCTCGAAGAGCATTAAAGGCTTTTCACTGTACACCGCATGCATGGAAATCACGTACGACAAGCCATTTTCACAAATATCAAGTACCAAGTATCACGTTTTGCACATAGACACTCATAACGGACTAAGGCTGATCCTAGGTGGGTTTAGGTGGTTGATTAGCTGGACAACCAGCTGTAGGTTGACTTGTTTGGTGCTGGTATCATGGAAGTCTGGTTTATCTGGTTAACTGTTCATTTTATCTGGTTCAACTGTGTTCACATTGTTGCACAGAAAGTTTAAATACCTAATTGCAAGGGATGCAACGATTAACCATGAGCCGGTTGAAAATCGATTCAAATAGGTGACGATTCAAATTGGCTGAGATGCTAAACAAATCGCGATTCAATTAGGGGCAGGAGTTTATATGAATGTATGTCTGAGGGGAACTTACTGTCTTTAGAAAAGTTTAGATGGTATTTTATTTTTTTCATCTTGCCTCTGTATAATGCATATTAAAGTTCATAAGTGCAGCACTGCTTTGTTTACAGCGGAAAGCAAGGAAACACTTTAAGCGCCGCCTGCTGGCAGAGAGTGCATCTGCGTCTCATTCAGGTCGTCTGCTGTTTCTGTTTCATGCAGATATTTTGTATGTATAGTTTCACAAAACTGAAGTCAAACCATTCTGTTTTTGCTTCAAATTTCGAAATTATACAATTTAATTTAGATTAAAAACTGCTCATGTTGCGTGTATGCAGCATCTTTGTTTGGATCATGATTAAAATGCAGTGGTTGCCTCTAATTTTAAATGGAAAGAGCACAGACAAAGCCTTATTTTGTTTATATG